TAGTTATATATATATATATATATATATATATATATTACAAATTAATGAATGCAGAGACTACAAAGAACTAATTAGTCATGTACCTATAGAGAAGAAATAAAAGATAGTTGTTACCTTTAAATTATAGAGCTTACACTAGTTTAACTTGTACAATCGTGCATGTTATATTTTACTTTTTACTTCTAACACAATTAAGAAAATCAAATCGAAAATCTAAGTAGTTCAGTTAGTTGATATTTGATGTTTTATCTTATTAATGAGAATTTATAATCCCCTCTCTCATTTGTGTCAATCTAATGAGTACTTATAAATGATGCACTTGTGTCAATCGAATTAAACAAAAAGAAAAAGAACAGCATGCTGTTCAACTCTATTAATTTCCCAATTACGATTTTTTTTCTTTTATGTACCTTATCTCATCCATTTAGAAAGATCAATAATGTTTTCACTTATTCTTCCTCTGACTAATAACTTTAAGAGATATTATGGCAAAATAAATTACTTCATGAAACACGATCAAAGTTATCTTATCCAATTATTAGTTAAAATTACAATTTCCGATAATCTAATGCATTTGGTTAAACAAGATTTAAACGTATTATCAATCAATAACAGAATATTAATATTATAGTGTATAGTATCATATTCTAATTTAATTTGTTCCTCTCAATTAATTACAAGCTTTTATTACTGACCCTTAAAAGTTGTTATCCTATTAGGACCATCAGATCAAGTGCCAAATCACTTAATAGAGGAATATTAGTGGATTTAAAAGAGAAAATAATACAAGTGGATATTCAGAAGATATGAAATGACTCACACCTTCAATAATTTTCTTTCATTTGTCATTCGGTATCCTCAGTCCATATTAGATTTCTGACTTAATCTGAATCGCGAACTTCAAAGTCTATTTAGGAATGACACTCCTAGCATGATTTTCTCCATGCTCAAAACTCAAATTTGAGACTTTAATTAAGGGTGAAATACTCCCATCATTACTCACTGTATGTTTTTGACGCACGCCTTTAATATAACCTACTAATGCTAGTCTTTAATTTTCAAAAAAATATATATATATATATATATTGGGGCCTTGCCAATTCACGTGAATAGGCCCTACCCTCTTATCCAATTGTCTCTCATTGCAAATTGTGGTGAAGGCCCACTAATATTCATTGTGTATTCACTATATATGCTTGATGTCAATAATTGATACATAGATTCTCCTTAAAAAAATTTATTTATTTTCTTATTGCTAGTTCAATTTGTAACTTTTGAATTCAAATATATGCAGCTGAAGTATAATTCTTTTTTTTCTAATATATATAGTCCATTTTTTATGTGTAGAAATGACAAATAAACTTTAGAAAAAAGAGAAAGCTTGACTAAAAGTAGATATGTAGAATGAGTGATACATAAAGCTGCCAAAATTAGAAAGAAATGTATCAACTTTTTGATATCTTGACGTAGCCAAAATGGGAGTGAGCTTGACCAAAGTTAATTATGGTAAAAAGCCCAATTGTTTGTAAATTTCTCACTTTTACACGCAGCTAGTTTTAGAGGCCCAATACTTGTAATGCATGTCAAATCAATAAATATTACTACTATATTATTGTGTTATTAATTTATTTTTTAGTTTTTAGTTTTTGAAATTTAAATTACATAAATTTTGATTAGTATTCAAGTATGTTTTTTTAATGATATTGACAGTGGAAACCTGTAATTTGTAAAACTTCTGTTGTAGTTTATTGAATATTTAAAATTTTAGTTTTTAAAATATTGAATTGATTTAATTTAATTTAAAAAATTAATTAAATCAATTAAGAATGATATCGTAGGAACTAGAATTCAAGGGAGTATGTTGTTGCGTATAAACTTTTGTTAGCATTTCCATGTAGGTGGGAGATATCATAATATCATATGAGGCCATCAACACTTTTTAAGCTAGCTTTCGAGATTGACCTAAATAGAATATTGATTTTTTTTTAATAATGATATCATAATCCATGCCCATTCAATTGTTTTCTCACTCGATGTTATGCCCGCATATATCTTGTGACTCTAGCCTTACATGCAGTGATGGTAGACCCACGTCAGTAAGTGTGATGACAATTTAATCAATTGAAATTTTCCTTTTAAATTTATCACCTACTTGCAATAAAATATAACACAATTTAATATATATTATAATCAACATTGGATCCTCCTCTACACTGAGCAAAGTTTGTAGTGCACCTTTAGCTACCATTCCTCTTCATAAAAGAAATATTTTTGACTCAAGGAGGAAGAAAGTTGTCTATAAGACTGCAACTGTTTCTGAAGAATCAAATTGGTGAAAAGTGCCATTTTAATTCTAAAAAAGAAAAGATGTATGGTTTCAATCTCTTTAAGATCTTGATGATTAGCCAAGTGAAATGCCCCCAAAAAAGTGAAGAGGGTATGCCTAATTTTGTTGAGATTGCGACCATCTCATCAAAACCACATAGATAAATAGAGAAAACAGAAGACTAGGAACCAAACACACAATCCACACACTGGGAAAGAGTCACCAAAATAATTATTGTAATCTGCACCTTGCACTGGAATTTTTCTATCTACCAAACTTTTGCAAGGTGATTTTCTAATTTGAGTAGGCACAAAGTTTCCAGAAAAAAAATAGGCGAAAGCCTTCAATGCCCACTTCGAAATCCTATTTGAATTGTTTGACATATGAAAAATGCGACATAGGCTGTTCATAGAGAATGCATGTCGCAATAACCTTGTTGATGCACCATTATCTGATTCATGGAATAGCAAACATAATGTTAAAAAAGGTAACCCTTGATTTCAATACAGAAAATTTTCAACACGGGCTAATGCTGTATTTTAGATCCGCTAAAATAAAAGGAAAAGTTAACTACAAGTACCAACTATTCCTGCTAAAAAAAAGTAATAATCAGTTAAACTAGGGTCATCATTAGATATGAATTTGGAGATAAACTAAGGAGACACCGACTGGATTGCTCCATGATACTCGTCCATAATCTCGCAATCCTGGTTCTTTTTAATTGCTCTTTCACCACAGAGCTAGCTATACAGATCTGCAACATTGAAAAAAAGAAGCAATTACACAGTGAAATATAGTCATAGTACAGGAAATCATTCATTGGTCAACCACTACTAAATAGACGAGGTGTGTGTCAAGCTGGCCCTGACACACCGGTATCACAAAAAAAAATCTGCATCGAGGCCTTATGTGATGCTCTCCTCGCAGCCCTTTGACATTACTCAAATCCTAATTGAATTCTAGAACTCACACGAATTCAGTCAGAGACATAGGATGCACTTGAGTCTAGATGTAAGAACAAAAATTCTTATCTCCATATGCATGAAACACCTGGTTCTGTGCATCTATGTTCCAAAGCAGGACTGATGAATCTGTGTTGGTGAAGGACTGAACTGCCTCTGGTTGAACTTTTTGCATCAAAAGATCAAGGTTAGAGGTTATAGAAGAAAATCATTTCCACATCCTTGTGAGAAACAACAAAATCTATTAATGTAGTTATAGAGCGGGAGATTGAATTTATTCCAATGTTTATCATCTCCAAGCCATTGAATGCAAAGACAATTAGTGGTTGGGTAAGAAAATCTTACCCTTCAGAAAGAGTGAAGCAACTTCCTTGACACTCTTCATAAAGTAAGAGATTCAGACAACTAACTCATGCCTACGGTTCTCACACCATTCCATGAGTTAGGCCCTTTAGTTCAGCTGAGGGTAACAAGTCATGTCAAACCAAAGCAACTGCATATGTCATTCAAAAGAAACTATGATGATTTGAGAATCATCAATGAGCATCGGGTCAGCAATCATCTGACCATTAGTAATGATTTAATACTTTCTAACCCATATTAAGCATCTTAATCTTTTTTTTTCTCTACAGAAAAGGCAATTATAATCTTAATCTCCTAATAAGTTAATGAGATCTTTTAAATGAAATGATAAGTTCTAAGATTCTTAATTTTCCTTCGCATGGATATCAAAGCAAAGACCATAAGATCAGCTCCCAGTCTCCCACCGACCTAATTTGGGTCCTTTTGCTAAAGAAGGCAAAGAACTCTTTCTAAGACATTAAGATAGGTCCTTAGGCAGAAATATAGATGAAAGTTGAGACAGAACATAAAGGAACATCAAACACTTTGAACTGGGATAAATGGATCCTTCTTGAAACACTGTGAATGGGTTAAAGATTCTTTACAATAACTTGCAAAAGGAAAAACAGGTCTCCTCTTCATCTGAAGACTGCAAAAAGATCTGCTACTACTGGTCATCATATAACCAAAGGACTACTGTTGAAGGTATTGAATCAAAAAGTAAGACGCCATGTTCTCATAAAATTATAACTATTTAATAATCTGGAAAAATGATGGCATTTTATCATTTTGGAACAATAGTCCTGACATTCCAATTACAAGCTGGTCCATAAAATACTGGCAGAAAATACCTTTAAGCTTTCCAACACCATAAAAGCTATCTACAACACCGTTCCTAAGGTGTAATTTCAGAACATTGTTACTTAAATACTTGAAGATGCAATCTGAGTGGTTCAGACCCCAACACTGGAGACCAAAACTAATTGTGCTAAAAGGTACACACCATCCATCCCAATTTAAAAAGTGTCTTAGTTTGACTAAGCATGGAGTTTAAGAAGAAAACAAGGAAGACCTTTGAACATTGTGGTCTTAAATTAAAGATGTGTAATCCTTTAAATCTTGTTGGGATAGATCAGAAAGGAAAGTAAGACACTTCACTAGGACGGAGGGAGTAAAAAAGAGTACCCATCTCAACTGAAAAACAATAACTATAAAAGAAACAGAGGATTACATCCAAGATAAACATGCAAATCATCAAATGCCTTGAAAAATCTTTACAACAACTAGATGCAAATTTTAAACTTCAAATAGAGGTTCAACATCATTTTTACACTTCTAATTTTTGTTCAATCATGCATAATCATACATCCATCTTAGCCTCAAAATCAACAGATATATGTAGGTCTTGAGATGCACAGTATTCACTACTGTACAATTAACAACACATAAATCATCAAAAGGAACTTAATATTAGCAACAGTATAACAATGATATGAGGAATTTAGAAAACAAACACCGAACACTCTTCCACTATTACATCTACGCATGCTAAGCCAACAAGTTTGGAACATTCAAATCAATGAATGTAAAAAGGAACAAACAGGTTCATGAGAAATCAAAAGGTGTAAACTTTATACCATCAGAGCCAGACAACATACAGGTTCATGAGAAATCAAAAGGTGTAAACTTCATACCATTAGAGCCAGACAGCTTAGTATGCTTAATCTTTTCAAGCTGAACTTGTGTATCCATAAACAACTGCATCCTTTGAACCTCCAAATCTTTAGCAAACTGCATCCTCTGCTTCTCCAGCTCCACCATTTGTCTCTGTTTCATCCCTTCAACTCTCTCATATATCTCTCCAAAACTCTCTATAGCCTTCGCCAGCCTCCTCATCCCATCCTCTTCCCAACTCTCTTCAGTCATCTCCACATCCTCCTCCTCGTCATCATAATCCTCTTCCCCTCCTCCTGCTGCCGCAGCAGCAGCTACAGCCGAATAATTTCTCCTGAAACAGGATTCATCAAAAGCCGGCAACTGCCGCTTCTGAGGTAAACTAACCGGTGTCACCACCGCCGATCTCCGGTAAGGCAACGGCACTCCCATAGGCGGTGAGGACATCGGTAAAGGTAACAGAGACACCATCACCGGCGTAACTTTCTTATCGGAGTTTTCGATCAACATATCAAGCCGTTCGAAGAAGGGCCAGGATGACGTTAGGGTTCCGTTAGACTCAATAATTTTCGCCTTCTCAACTTTGTACTTCTTCTTCAAGGTATCAATCCGATTCTTACATTGAACATCGGTTCGGTGAGTCTTCCTCGAATGTCCATGAAGGGCATTAACGGAATCGGAGACCCGTTGCCAATCCTTCTGACGGAGATTTCCACGGTTCAATTCCATATAACGACGTCCCCAAGCATCAACAAGGGTCCATGTAGCTTGTTCGCTCCAACAATCCTCACGGAAGGGTAATGGCCTTGATGACATGGTTACCTGTGTGGAGGATTCGGTAATCTCACCCATTGATGGAAAGAATGAAGAAGAGAATTGATCGGAGAATGATGGAAGAAAGAGGGAAGGGTATAAAGGATAATCGCCGGTTGGCGATTGGAAAAGCGCGTGAGCCGCATGAGTAGGAGAGTGTACGGAGATGATGACATAAGAAAAGTTGAAGTCGCCGGGAATGGCGCGTGAGGTTACGTCAGACGGCAACAGGACGGAATTGAGGAGTGGCTTTGCGTTACGCAATTATGTAACGTCGTTGTCGGAATTGGAATTTTGGAATTGTCGATTTGATTATAGGGTTAATTTTCTATTTTTACTGAATTTTCAGGTTAAGTGTATATGTATTTGTGATGTGGACGGAACGGAGAAACGGGGTGGGCCGATGCCAACTTAGGAGAAAACCAAAGTTATCTTTTTGCTAATCTTGCTACTATTTTACTATTATATCCCTATTCCGAAAACAAAAATTCCTTTTTAGTACGAAGGTAAAAAAATAAGAAAATGCACAGTTTGATTTTTCATTAAAAAAATTTAAATCAATTATATTGCTTATTTAAATTTAAGAATCATATTAAATCATATAAAATCAATTCTTTTGATATTTTTTTATTTTTTATGACTATACTGTATTTAAGAAAGCAATCAAATATTCTTTTACTTTTTTGTATTGATAAACTAAACTTTAAAAATGTTAAGTAAATAGAATTTTTTAAGAAGATTATAAAATTCACATGAGCACAAAATATTTTTTTTTTGAAATCAATGTTCATTATATTCAATTAATAAGATTAGAGGTTAGAGGCAAACTGAATACAAAAAATATTTACGAAGTAAAAATTGTTAACTTTGAATTTGAAAAACTATAACAATATAACTATAACTTCGGAACTTTAATACAAAATAAAATATTTACAATTTTTACAAGTCCAAATCTGAGATAAAATATATAAACATGGGAAACTACAAACAAACTAAAATTATATTAACAAACTAGGTTATAAATAATATTTTTTAACTATAAATATATATATATATATATATATATATATATATA